TTGTTTTAAAAATTATAGATATTTTAGTATTTTTTTAATGATATTTTAATAAAATGATATAATTTTGAAATATTTTTCTTTTTAATTTTTTAAAAATCTGATTGAATAATTAAACATTAATCTCTTATAAAGTTATAATAAATTATTTACAGTACCATGGGAATCTCAACTTGCCCTACGTGCATCAAAGAAGTTAAGAACAAAAGTACGTTAGACCAAATCCAATGAAAACTTGGGTTTCAATTATTTAAAACCGAGGTCCGAAGCTCATGTCTCCACCACAAACATAAAGTATCTTTGTCTGAACTCGTCATATCAAGTAGCAAAGATCCGCTATCATCTTCAGACAAAATTTCACATCAGACACAATCAAAACTCCCATTAAAACCCCATAATTATAAACTAAAATTATGTAGTGTAGTGTTTGCGTGCCCCCCCCCTCCCCTCTGCACTTTTCAAACCCCTTCGCAAATGAGTGAGCTCCAGTCCACCTCCGCATAAAATTGTGGAGTGCATGTGTCCCCATTTGCACCTTTCAAGTGATCTAATTTGAGATGACATGCTTGTTATGCAATTATTACTTAATTAATTTAGTTGTTTGAACTCAAACTTATTTTTCAAGTTATTTAATTTGAGATGACGTGCTAGTTATGTATTTATGATATAAACTTATTGTCAAGTTTAAATTCAAATTTAATGAATAATTTTAACATTTTATTTCGTACATTTATTACACTTTTATTCTGTGTCATACAAATATGTGATAAAAAATCTTTTAAAAATTTAAGTAATTTAATTTCACTCATTTATAACTCATTACATAATTGTATTTGAACTCAAATAAGATGAAAGTCAAATTTTTATCTTTTGTCACTTTGGTTTTCACCATTAATATTGATGACTTCCTGACAGACAATCTGGCTTTCAATGTCTTTTAAGAACAGGAATTTTGAGGATGATGAACGGCTTGCAGAAAGATAATAGTCTTTCAATCTTGTGACTCAAATTTCATCTGGAAAAATCCTTAATTTAATGGAAGAAAGCCACAAAATTTGTGGTTTGTGAAGGGGAGTCTGGGACAAGGAAGGAGCAGGGATGTCTCTTCCCATTTGCCCAGATTCGAATCCTTTCGAAAATTATTTTACCTAGTCCAAACAAATTTGAAACCCCACGTACCCACTACCTCATCTCCCAACACCAATATGCAAATCCCATGTCGGCATGTCCCCTTTCGAGGACGGTCATGATCTTTTGTAATAGAAAAAATAATAAATAAATAAATTGTGCCAAAGTATAAGGTGGATGTGGAATGCGGATAGGATCTGATCTAACTGCTTCAATTGTCCATGTTAAAAAAATATTGGGATTTTGGGAGGCATTTGAAATTTTGAATTATGTCAAAAATGATGTTGAGATATTTAATAATAATTATATGATAATTTTGATAAAATTAATTTTTTTATTATATTTAACATATTTAATAATTGTGATTGGATGTTCCCACGTTAAATATCATGATTTTTTCTTTTTTTGTTCGCCAAAGTTTTTTATTTTTATTTTTTTTGATGTTTAGATATATTTCATAAAACTTATTGTTTACTTAGACAACTAAGATATTTTTAAATTGACATGTGAATCTCAAGACAAGATAATTAAAGCTATTATTAGAAAAAAAAATGAAAAAAGGGGAGTTTGAATTTTCTATTTTCTATTGGGGTGATTTGGGGAAAAGTGTGAAGTGTTGTTTGGGATTTGATTAGGGTTCCTTGGAGGACAAAAAACGCTATTGGGAAGGGAAGAAAGAAACGATTTCCAATTTTTTTATGTGATCAACAAAGACTTGGGCGTCAGCGGTTTTATCCCTGAAATGTTTTAGTAATTGCAGTCACATGGATGAAGTCAACTTTATCAGTGTCACGGGCATGCACACCAGTCTTTTCTTATTTTCTCTTTGAGGCAGACAAAAATATGGAGGAAATAAAATCCCCTGCCTACTTTCTTCCTAGTTTCCCAAATTTTGAGGCTGTTGCAGAACTTGGGCTTGTTGAAGAATTCTAAGGTCCAATCCAATCCACTCAATTAAACCAGGACAGGCAGGACTCAAGTTTTCAGATTCAAAAGTGAGCTCAGGGAAAATTTCAGCCCAGATGGGGAACTCTTACGGCCTTGGACTAGCAGGCAACAAGACAGACACGATGGCGAGAAGGAAACAGATGATTTCTGAGATGATGCATTGTATTTGTCATGTTTTGCTTGAACCGAGGCATGGGAAGTTGGACAAGTGAGACACCCTAGTAACACATGACAAGACGACCGACAAAGTCTCTGCTGAGATAGTAGTACCAATAATGATTAAAGGAATTGTTATAAGGAACACGAAATCGATGATACATGCTATCGCTTAGACACCTGTAAACAAGAAACAAACTCATGATCCCTTAATCCAGACAAAAGGTAGAAATATATAAATATATATATATATATATATATATAATGCAGTTATAACAACTCAACTTAAACTATTATATAGGTACAGGTCTCAAATATTGAGAGCTACCCTTCATCCAATAATCCTTTTGTTGCTGTCCGATATAATTCAATATGTGGAACAAGAAACTCAAAAGAAAAATGGTACGATTTCAATAACATAAACTTGTGAAGATCGATATACATAATATATATTCTCATTTCACTAGTGGGATTTGGGAACTGGTCCTGGGTTTACTATGAGTCTGATGATTATCAATCTATACTCCACTAGTCTTATTCAAACCAAACCCGGTAGTCTTAGGGAGAAGGAAAATAAACATGTAAATAGGACTACAATAAATTAGAAAAGTATCCTCTGCAGCCGTAACTAACCAAGTAGAAATGCAAAACAGAAACAGACTTCTCATCCGAAGGTCAATGTGTAAGAGCTGCCAACAATTGCAACTTAGTAAGTATAGCCTTTAACAAACATTCCCTTCTTAGCTTCTTCACTTTCACCCTCGGCCGAGTATTTACCAAGTTGAGCTAGAGAGTTTGCCTTTGCACGCACCAAAAGAGCCTTCTGTGCAGCTTCAATGTTCTCAGGACGTCCTTGCCATGTTTTAAGTACAGTGTTCTGTAAGGCACGTGCATATGAGAAAGAGACATGCCATGGGTTGGGGCTCTGGTTCATTGCATTCAGGTTGAGTGTGGCTTCCACCTCAGACTGTCCTCCAGATAAAAACTGAGAAGTAATAAACTCATTTCAATACACTGATCATTTTAAATGATATTCTGAAGTAAGAACAGCTTTCACACTGAAATAAGATGAAAAGGTTTGAGTTTTTAATGTTATTTAAACAGCAGCCAATGATTAGCAGAAAATAAGATCACGAATAAGCATTGTCTTGAACAATTTTGCTCCTTTTTATTTTTATTTTTTCCCTATAAAAGACAATGTACAGGTTTACATACCATGATTCCTGGAACTGCTGGAGGAACTCTCCTCTTAAGCATTGTGAGTGTATATTTAGCAATGGTGTCTGGGGAAGCCTTCTCTTTATGTTCAGCCCCGGGAGTTACCATGCTGGGCTTAAGGAGGATACCCTCGAATATGACATTATTCTGGGCTAAGTAGTAAAAGACTTCTGACCAGACCTTCTCTGCTACTTCAAGTGTCCTCTCAATTGGGTGGTCCCCATCAAGAAGAATCTCAGGTTCCACTATTGGCACAAGACCATTGTCCTGCACATTACTTACACATTAATCATTCAGGGAGAGATGACAAAGCAAGTGCAATATAACGTCTAAACTTCTGGTGATCCTGATTTCAGACAGAATTACAGAAACAGAGAAGGTGAGCTTACTACAAATAGAATGGGAAGAAGATGGATTGGGAAGATGCTAAATAAACAACAAAGAACAGTTGACTATTAAAAGGGAAAATGAAAGGATTTGTTATTCTGGTAAAAAGTTTACATATATTTTGACTCATTCCAAGACTCCCTCAAAAATTAATTCAGCTCCATCATAATTCAATGCAACATCAAGGCAAATTAATTCTTGTATCATATACAGAATTTGTCCAAGTTACAACTAAAAGTAAGAGCTAATAACTTCACAAGCGTTAGAAATAACTTTCCCCAGTTCACAACTTAAGAAAGAAAGAGGTATACAAGGCTGCATTTCTTGCTCTGTAGAACAACCAAAGTTATAATGATGGGGATACCTGAGAAATGGCAGCATAACGTGCAAGTCCCCAGGCAGCTTCCTTAACAGCCAGAGCAGAGGGACCACAAGGAATACTAACAACTGTTCTCCTGGATAATTTACATAGCAAAGAGTGAATTATATGACATACATTATGCAACTCAGACAGTGAAACAGAAAAAGAAATGATCAACCATTTATTTGGTTAAAGGAAACCAGAAGTTTCACCCTAAATCTATAAAGGCACAATCACACAAAAAAAAAAAGACTAACCACTTAGCAAAACGAGCACCCTGCTTGTAGTATTCAGCGGATCTTGATGCCAGTCCATCCAAGCCTTGGCACCAAGATTCATTGTTTGATCCAGGCAGAGGAACCAAACCCTGAAACAACAATATATATATATATATTTGGATTAACAAGAACTGAAGAACATCATATAATGACAGATAAAGCTCATGAGAAATCAAATAAAATAATTTATCCTAGGTGTCAAAACTTTCACCATCTATTTATATTATACCTTGTCAACTTTGATGCCAGGGACAATTTTCTCATCACGCAAGCAATCTACAAACTTTTTCCCATCTGTTGTTGCCTGGTAAAGTGTCTCCTCGAAAAGAATGGCACCAGAGATATAATCACCAAGGCCAGGAGTTGTGAGTAAAAGTTGCCTGTATGCCTGGCGGTTGGTCTCGGTATTGTCTAAGCCAATAGACGCCAACCTCTTCCCACAGGTAGCATTGGACTCATCAATAGCAAGGATACCACGGCCAGGTGAGGCAATAGATTTCTGCACCACCAAGAAAGCATCAATAAGCAACATAGCACCATCTCCCAACAACTACAATTCCTTGGAGAACTTTGCTATTATTCATAAATTGTAAAAGTTTCAACTTAGAAAGACTTCAAAAAGCGCATGCACAATGGAAATAAGAGAATTATGAAGCATCAAGCAAAATGATCCTTTTCCTCAAAAAATGACTAACTAAATAGATTCAAAATTCAGAATTGTGAAGGATCAATACTTAACCAGCACAAACAAATACATCTACCAAAAAACAGATTCAGAATTCAAAATCAAAATAGAATAATCTTCCGAAACTTAAAAGAAGAAAAAGAGAATATGAAACCGAAGAGAGTACTAACGGCGGTTTGGACGAGCTCGTCTTTTGAAGCACCAGCCCGGATCGGGAGGGAGACACGGCGACTGGTGAGGCGAGTGGACGACCCAGGGCGCTGAGCGAAGGACGGTTGTCCGATCCACTGAGACGACGGCGCGTTTAACTTCGTGAAGCTAGCACAGGCCATTGCGGTGCAGCAACGACAGGAACAAGAAGTCCGGAGAGATCGATAGAGATGAACGAGTGATTTTACGAGGAAAAGGCCTTCGCGGTTTTGTTTGGTTTCTCTCCCCGATTTCTTACTCCTTTTCGATGGTAGGCTGCGTTTGGTTATGGGGATTTATGAAGTTGTTTTTCTTGGAGGATCCGTAGAGGGAACTGAGAATTCAACGAGACAACGGGCACGCGGCGTTAGCGAATATGATCGTTTTATGATTGTCCCTTAAAAATATATATATATATATATATATATATGGGGATGATGGTTATGTATTGATGGGGATGATGGTAACCATATTACCCTTCCACATTTTTTCCTTCCATCAAAATACAAATAAATTTTTTTTTTATAATGTAAATTATATTAAATTATTAATAACGTAAGTTATTAAATGATAATAAACTTTTTGATATTAAAGATGTCACTTATTTAATAATTTTTATTTTAGGGTCTCTTATTATAATAATTATAAAATAAAAAGTCAGATAAATATAAATATAAATATAATAAATTAATAATTTATAACACGAAGTGAGATTTTATAATTAATTTATTCTATTTGACAACAAATTATGAAATAATATTTATTTTTTAATTTAATAATATGTGTGTTATATAAATTATGAACAAAATTTTACTTGCAACCACGTTTAATTTGAAGGAAAAATTATTGTACAGTAGAAACGCTCAATTAGAAACATGAGAAAGTGGGGGCTCCAAACACTTAAACCATGATGGCCAGTTTGATGGTAAATGAACAATAATTTCTTTTAATACTCGCCCAGTGCAATCAAGAAAGTGTACTATAAAACTGTACGGATTTCGAGAATTCTTAATCTCGAACAAGGCATGAAAAAAGAAGAAAAAGACATCCAAATTCAGAGGTTTATGGTAACTCACTCCTTCAGAGGTTTGTGACGATTGAAGGGGTGACTCAAAGGTAGCAAATCATGGTCATATATGAGATTTTTCTTTACACAATCATGCAGGCTTCTGATGACTAACATTGCTTTTCCATGCATTCTGGCATCACCTGAATAATAGGAAGTGTGTAAATCGGACCAGGTTTTACCAAGCAAACCATATTCCTCTGTATTTCCCCCGGTTGCCTTAAAGCTAAAAGAAGATAGTGAAAATGGAAACCAGAAAGATCCGATAATGCAGGGGATTCCAATGTCCAAGTGCTTTATAGACAAGAGGCAAACTGTCTCTAAAACTAGGATATCAATATATGTGCACTCACCTCACATCCATCATGGTAAGGAAATGATTTTGTTTAGCCTTTTGTTTTGTATATGGAGGCAACTGGAATCTTTTCTTTCTCTTGCTGAGCAATTTTTTTTTTTTTTTTGGTTTCATCTCAGGAGTCAAGAACCCCTAAAATGATACGAAACATCTGATTAAAATGTTAATGTCAGAGAAGCTAAATGAGAGAATGGTGGAAAGGAAGCTGCTTTATGGACAAGACAAGGAGATTGACTTTCCTCTCCTGCTGACCTTTCCAAACACGTTGCTCCTACTCAAAACCACTCCGCTTTCTTTTCTGTTTCATAATGGTGGAAATCCCTTGGGTTATATAAACTATATCTGAGAATTTTACCTACCTTTTTATAAAATGTAATTTTTTCCCCTTTCATATTGTTTAGGTCATTATTTGTCATCTTATAGTGTGTGAATTTTGTTTTATATCTGTAACCTATAAATTGAATCGTCTGTTTGGTTTGACTATTCTGAAATGTGTGCGTATGCATTTGCAGCATTTTGCTGACCTGTTTGCCTTGCAGTTTACTTCCCTGGTAGGTTCAATATGCTGGATATTCGGTGAGAAGGAGTTGTTTGTTTTCTCCTTTTACTACATTGAACAATTTTTTTGTCTTGAACAGATGACACAAGAAGGATATCGCTTAGTTACTGATAGAGTAGTCCCTAATCCAGGCAATGTAATTCATTCCTCAAGCAGTCAACAGCGCACTGTTACCATTAGCGGTGCCACTCAGATAGCTAATAGAACACTAGAGTTGTCTTCCTCGACTTTGACCTATGGGCTATGTCCTACCATGCGCACTGCCCTGACTGGCAACATGTTAGCAGGACCTGGAGGCAATCTTTTCCCCACTGTATGCAACCAGTCAACACTCCAGCTCCCAAGTGGCACCATATATATCCAAACTAAAACTTGATGATGCTGCTCAGGTCAGCCCAGGTCTCCCACACTGGCAGGGGAGATTCTGAACAAACGTGCTCATTTACATTTTCTGATGAAGCAAAGAGAGAGACTGCAACAGCAACTAATGCAGAAAAAGTTAATGGTGGGGAGATTGGGTGTCAGTATGAGTGGCCTGGGTACGATACAGTTGGGTGGTGGAAGCCAGGGGCTTGGAAATGTAGGTGCAGTGGCAAAGGCACCAACTTTTTCAGATGTGGCATTTGTCTTAAACAACCAGCAGCCACCACAACCACCTACCCATCAACAACAGATACTGAATCAGCATCAGATGAGAGGACCTCACCAGAGCTAAGCGCCAGCCAACTTAATCGAGTATACCGGTTCCCATCTAACTAAAGCTGGCCTGCAACATATTGGACAGCAGCCTCGACTGAACCATGGCTCAGCTTCACAACTGACGAACAGAGCGAATATGGTGTCTGGCCCTCATAGCCCGGAGTTGAGTTCACAATCTCATGATCATGGATCTGTAAGCGGTCATAAAGGAACCTCCTCGAGGAATTTTACTGATCAATAAAGAGTATATTCAATAGAAAGGATCCAGTTTCAGTTGGAAGGTAAAGAAATCAAGTTCTTGTGCAGCATAGGTGGTAGAATACAGGGAGCAAAGGTGGTATGAGAATAAAGAGACAAGTACAAAATACAGTAGAAACTTATACACCTAGCTAGTTTTTTTGGTTGCTTGTTATTTACAGCCGTTATAATTCACCGTATGCATATGTGCCAATAGGTTGGTCCTCAACGGTTCTTT